CCATGAATAGAAAACAAATTCTGATTATAAGAAACAATAATAGGTATATTAGTTGCTCCACGACTTGCCCAATAACTTCCTTTTTCTTAGGAAAGCAATCAGCACGTGTTGCAAATACCAGCCACAAGTTCCTTGGGACCAAGTCCTTGTGCTAAAAAATAGGAGTGTAAAGCTGACTTCTTTAAGAAGATAAGTTAAAATAACACACTTGTTCATTAATTTAACTTTACATATAGACTAGATTCATTTTGTTCCTTAACAAACAAAATCTCCACTGAACTCCTACTTTTAAGGTAACCACTTTGAAAATCTTTTCCGCACGACTTTGACTACTATAAAATCAGGTATTTATTATAAAATTTTGTTTTATAAAATAAAATAATTTTATAAATTAGTTTATTTGAAAACTAAATCCCTAGAAACTAGGAAAATAAGTTATCTTTTTGACTAAGAGAAAATCAGATTTTATTTTCAAAAACTTATCTTTTATAAAATAAAATCTAATAATAAATATTAATACCAAGTCAAAACTAACTTCCTATAAAGTAGGCAAACATAATGCAATGACTATTTAGTGTGGAAAACTGACTTCTAGTGCTGTGCAAACTCGTGTTCCTTCTATAAACGAATTATAGACTGACTAGTAAGGAACTTACTGGTCATCAACACTAAGTTCCTTACTGACTGAAGTTCTAATGTAGTTCCTTAGGCTTGTTCCAGAAAATTTCTCTTGTCCAACATGCTTACATGATTCCTAGAAAAACATACTCCTATTTTTCTTTCTTCATGTTTCTCTGATGAAGCTTCTACTCCGATGCTTCTCTTCCTGTCAAGGAACTTCTCTTCTCTGGTAAAGCATCTACTCCGACACTTTTGTTCCTGCAAAGGAACTTCTTTTCTCTGATGAAACTTCTACTCTGAAGCTTCTACTCCCACGAAGGAACTTCTCTTTACTTGTTCCCCCTAAGGAACTGCTGCTCATTCCTTGCAAAGAACATCTTCTCATTCTTCTTAGGAACTGCATGGAAAGTCTAACAATACGTATGTACGTTTAGACTTCTTCTCTTTATGTTCCGCTTGAGGAACTCAAGCACGATCCATACATTGTATGTAGGGAACCATCTTTAATGATGATTTAACCTGTACTCAATCATCTTCATGCTTCATGACTTGTTCATGCACATCTCAATACACATATTAGTTAGATAATCATCATTTGTTCACAATCATCAAAACCTTACAACAATTTCCCCCTTTTTGATGATGACAAACAAATGATGCTTATCACAAGATAGATAACAGAAGATGTGTACATATTCCGCCTTAATCATGCGAATTAGGAGCTATTGAACAACTCATACATGTACGATGAGGAACTACTCATAAAGGATAATAACATGTAATTTGAAGTACATTATATTGATGTACATCAATTTGACTTATCTTAGCTACATTATTCAATAAGCATAACTCATGAATAACTATTCAATAAGTATTTCTATAAGCACATCACATAATAAGCATCACATGCACACATATTCTTCCCCCTTTTGTCATTATCGAAAAGGGTATTCTTGCACACATTTATTAATTCATTTTAATCATTTATGCATACATACATAAGGGCAATGTCACACATACCACCGTAAAAATGGTTAAACACTTGGTATTCCTAAAAGCTTAAGATACTCGATTTTCAAACTAGGATGCTGCTACACAAGTTTCCAATTCACAATCCAAAGACCCAACTTCAAAACCAATGAAGGAACTTAACAGATTAGATACAAAATCAAGCAAAGATCGATTTTGTAAGTTTGTTAGAGAAAAGCATAATGAATATTTAGCTCAAAAGATATGTAAGAAGATAATGGAAATATTTCTAGTATAAGGAATTTGAGACAAATGTTGTGATCTTAGTTTAGAAAGTTTGAGATAATGTTCTTAACAATCATAAGAGTTTAATTACCTTCATCTTACACTCTTGAGGGTTCAACAAAACACAATATACACACATAATTACCTTGGTATATATGTACTTACCATGTTCCCTTCAATTCAACCACCAACCTTCCTTAAGGAACATGTTCATAAGTGAAACTTGAATATTCATGATCAAGTTCTTTCAATATCTCCTTCTATTCCTTAGCTTTCTCAAGCTTCATGAATAAAATCCTTCATCATCGATCTAAGGATTCAATAATCACCTTTTTTTAAGGTGACTTTCAAAATTTTCTTTTACAGTAATGAAGATAGAACTTACTCATATACTATTCAGTTCCACACCAAATATATGAACCACTTTAATTGGTTCCTCCCTTATTTCACCTTAGTTCCTTATCATTCTTTTTCATCTTGGAATTTATTATAAAAATTCCTCAAGATGATTCTTCCTCCAAGACATCAAATGATAAATCATACGCACTTCAGTCCTTTCACAACTTCCCCCTCAACATGTATTCATCTAACTCTTCATGTATCATTGAACCATAAAAAGGAATGAATTTAACTTAGAGCACATGGGTTATGCGAAAATAGAGTGGGAGGATATGAATGAGCTAAGGAAAACATAATGAATAAGGATCTTCGAAGTTATGTATATGTAAGATATAAAAATAAGAAACACAAACCATAACACAACACAGACACACAACATAATGTTGTAGAATAATGTTGTTTTCGAAGATGAATGGTGTGGATAATTTGAAAGCTGACAAAAAGATAGGTACGTTCCCTCTAGAATATATAACCATATCAGATAAAATAGTTTGGGAATATACCTGTCCTATTCCATAAAAGTTTCTTCCATTGTTCCTTTGGCAACTTAGGATTTTTTTATTTGACAACATCCATAATTCTCAACGAGACCTTTGACACTCTTAGGCAAGTGAATATGTCATTTACAACACAATAATTAAGTGTGACACATTACACTTAAGCGTATGTATGTATTTTACTTCATTTATAATGTGCACAAGAAACCACACTTAACAATTATAAGAAAGAAATATGTATATATGCTCATGCCATACTTCAACATATTTTATTCCTTAAAACAGCCCATACTTTACTAATTAGGTGAAAGCATAAGAAAGAGATTCCACATATTCAAACATATAACTACAACAAAAATGGGTTTGGGCGACGAGTCATTTTAACATGGGCGACCAAATATTTGTCCGTAGCCCAAACACTTTTAATGGGCATCTAAATTAAATTTGTTGCCCAAACATGTGTATTGTGTGACGACACATAAAGTCGAAGCCCAAAATGTACTTTGGGCTACGAATGTAATTATGTAGGCTACCAGTTTTTTCTTCATTGCCTAAATCAAATAAGACGACGAGTTTTTTTTAATACATTTGATGCCCAAAATCCAAAAAAAAGGCGGAAAATTAATTTTTCTATGTTGCAAAATTCCCACGTTCACATAAGAGTCTCGCGGTTTCTTTAATTCTCCGAAATAAACTCTAATCAATTTTCTACTCCTACTTTACCTCATATTTCCTCAATTCTTAGCTAGTTTAATATCAGTTAAACCCTAGTACCTAAGTCACCTCAATTCCGAAGGCTACTCTGATAACTCAGGGTTGGCGACTTGGGGTGGGTTTTTCCGGCGGCCTCAACACACTTACAGTAATAGCGTCATCCTCTCCTTACCAGGTAATTTACGCCTTTAATTCAGTTGTTTTTCCTTATATTTATTGTTAAATTTTGTGTTTTTCTGGTTCCTGGATTCAATTGTGGGTAATTTTGACCCTATAATTTTGTGTGAATTGATTATCCCCAATTAATTCCTGGTTGTTTAATCGATTCATAATTAGGAGCGTATGAATACCCAATTCTGTTGTTGGTTGTTATTTTGGAGCAATTGTTGGTAGTAAATTTTCATATGATTTTATTTGTTAGTAATATGGAGGGTTTGACTTGTTTTGATTGGGAAAGTAGGGAATTAAAGTGTTGTAGAATTTTAATTATATGGTGTCAATTTTTATGTGTGTTTATTTCAGAAGGAAAAGTCTTGATTTCAATATTTCTTTTGTGTGCATGTATCAGATTTTGCAAAATAATATGATTGGAGGCTATAATTTTCATGTTGTGCAAACAAGAATTAATATACAGAGTAGTAGGTGTATATTGGCAGGGGTGAATACAAATTTTTTTTTTTTTTGACGAGAAAAACGAACCAAAATATATTAAGAGAAAATTAGGGAGTGTAAAAAATAACAGCAGCTACAATGCTAGGGGGAAACTCTTTTGTCCACACCCTTAAACCATCATACTCTCTATTAATGTTGGCTAGTTTATGAGCCACCCCATTCCCTTTTCTCCCCACAAAAGCATAATCAAAAGATAAGCACAAATTAGCTAGAAAAAGAATGTCATTCACGATGATACTGAGCCTCGAGTTGTCACGTTTGCCTTTCTTCAGTTTATGATAGAGGTTCAGGTTGTCCACCTCAACGATCAAATGCGAGAACTAGCTTGAAAATATTGAAGTATAGTTTGAGCAAATTATTGATGAGTGTGCAAATTAAAACTAGCTTTAAAATATTTAAATTATAGCTATGACTCGTGTAATATTAATTAAACTAAAGGACTTTTGCTCCATTCTGATCATAGTAGCAATGCACCATATAACTAAGTGTATGTTTTCTAGCATATTTTATTAGTGGAATTTGCTTTGCCTAAGATGAATATGAGTCAGAATATAAATTTGTTCCTCATATTATATAAATGCATGTTAAAGTATAAATTTATCTTAGAAATGTCGTTTCTTTACAATTCTTCTAACTCATGCATTTGATAATCTTGTGTTTCCCATTCTTTTTAAATATATCACTTCTTTGTAATTCTTCTAACTCATGCATTTTATAATCTTGTGTTTCCCATTCTTTTTAAATATATCACATATAATTCATGTTTAAAGTTAAATCTTATTGAGAAATTAAAAAAAAATCTTTGTTTGTAACTAATTATCTTTATTGTTTTTAAGAACGAATATGGATCGAAGTTGGATGAATCATAATGGTGTAAAGGATAGAAAACAACCGAAGTACATAGCTGGTGTAAATGAATTTCTACAGTTTGCTTTTAGGGGAAAAAGTGGTGAAACAATGTTGAAATGTCCTTGTCTTAATTGTAGATTGGTTTTGTCTCAAAATCGTAAAAATATGCAATGTCACTTACTAGTATATGGCATTGATCAAAGTTACAAACCATGGGTGAGTCATGGAGAAAAAGCAGAGAAAACTAATAACAATGAAGATGGGTATAGAGAGGAGGTTTCAGATAATGATGATGAGATTGATGAAATGCCTTTTGATGACATGGCTCCATTTGTTTTCGATGCAACAAACGCGTGGAATTCCATAAACTCTACACCCGTCGATGAAAATGAGGGAACCACAAATATAAGATTAAATAGTGGCACTCATGAAACTCCTATGTTGCTCCAAAAATTAATGGAGTATATGGAGGCTGATTTATATCCAGGTTGTAAGACGTTCAAGAGATTGGAGTTTATTATGTCATTGTTGCACATTAAAGTTAGTAACAAGTGGAGTGATACGTCCTTTTCAATGTTATTGAATGCTTTGCATAGGGCATTTAATTATGATAACAATTTACCTTCAAGTTCCTATGAAGCAAAAAAATATACAAAAGCGCTAGGGTTAGACTATGTTAGGATTGATGCATGTGTTAACCATTGTGTTTTATTTCGAAAGGAGTATGCAAATGAATTTAAATGTCCTAAGTGTTTATCCCCTAGATGGAAGCAGGATGTTTCTCAAGATGACGAGAGTTCAGATGAAGATGAGGGTGCCAAGAGGAAAACACGAGTACCTCAATTAGTCTTGCGTCATTTTCCACTTATTCCAAGGCTCCAAAGAATGTTTATATGCTCCAAGCTAGCAATGCATATGAGATGGCACAAGAAAAAGCATGTTGGTGATGATGATGATGATGGGATTATGAGACACCCAAGAGATTCAGAATCGTGGAAGTCTTTAGATGATCTATATCCAGACTTTGCTGCGGATGCACGTAATGTACGCTTGGCTTTAGCTAGTGATGGGATTAATCCTGGGGCGAACATGAGTAGTAGATATAGCATATGACCAATGATGTTAGTACCTTATAATTTACCTCCTTGGATGTGCATGAAAAATGACAACATGATGTTATCATTATTAATTCCTGGCCCTAAATCTCCTGGTAATGACATAGATGTATTTTTGTAACCTTTGATAGATGAATTAAAGGAGCTATGGGAGACCGGGATACAAACTTTTGATTCCCATTCTAAGGAGACATTTAATATGCGAGCAGTACTTATGTGGATAATAAGTGATTTTCCTGCTTATGCCAATCTTTCTGGCTGGAGCACTAAAGGAGCCATGGCTTGTCCTAATTTCCATAAAGATACAAATTCTGAATGGTTGAAGCATGGACACAAATGGTGTTATATGTGTCATCGTGTATTTTTAGAACCCGATCATAGTTGGAGGCTTAATAAGAGATTCTTTGGTAAGAAAGTTGAAAGGCGCCTACCACCTAATTCATTGTCAGGGCATGACGCTTTGGAGCAGCTACATGGATACCCAAATGTGGAGTTTGGAAAAGATGATAAAGGAAAACGGAAGAGAGGTGAAAGATATATTGTTCACCAGTGGAAAAAGATAAGCGTTTTTTTTTCAATTGCCTTATTGGAGACATCTATTAGTTCGACACAACTTAGATGTAATGCATGTGGAAAAAAATGTATGTGAAAATATATTAGGCACATTGCTTGACTTACCAGGAAAGAACAAAGACACCTTAAACTCTCGGTTGGATTTAGAGTCCATGAAAATGCATGATGATCTTCGACCAAAGAAAGTAGGGGACAAATATGAAATTCCACGAGCCCCTTTCAACTTGAGCCTAAATGAAAGGAGGAAAATAGTCAGATTTTTATCGAAATTGGCTTTTCCGGATGGCTATTCATCTAACATTTCTCGATGTGCTTCTTTTCAAGATGGAAAACTCTTAGGAAGGAAAAGTCGTGATTTTCACGTTTTCATGCAAGATTTGCTAACCCCGACTTTTCAAGGTGTCTTAGATGAAAAAGTATTAGAACCTTTAAGAGAGCTTAGTTTATTTTTTAAGCAGTTATGTGCTAAGACCTTAAAGGTAGTAGACTTAGAACGAATGGAAGCAAATATAGCTATCACATTATGCAAGCTAGAACGTATATTTGTTCCAGCTTTTTTTGATGTGATGATTCATCTTCCCATACACTTAGCTACTAAAGCAAAATTGGCTGGCCCTGTACATTATCGTTGGATGTATCGATTTTAAAGGTAAAATATGTTTTTATTTATTTTTTTTTAAATCTAAATGGCTAAATATTAGAAGAGGTTATTACACTAATTTCATTTTTTAATATTAGAGCTATGCGGACGTTTAAATCTTTTGTAAGGAATAAAGCTCACCCTGAAGGATCAATTGCCGAGGGGTATATTCAAAAAGAATTTTTGACATTTTGTGCCAGATATCTTTCTAAGATTGAAACTCAGTTCAATCGTTTAGATCGAAATGAGGACATGCACGATCCACAATTGTATAGTCTTTTAGTTTTTTGTACCACTGGCAAGCCTCTAGGGAAGGCAAATTTAAAGAATTTGAGTATTGAAGGTTGGAGAAAATATCAATTGTATGTTTTGCAGAATTGTGAAGAAGTGGAACCTTTTTTTGAGTAAGTACGTTAAATAATAATATATAATTATGAAATAAAATGTTGCTAATTATTTTTTTTTAGTGAATATGAGAACAATATAGGGCATCAAGACGTTGAATTCTGCAAGTGGTTTGAGAATAGAGTAAGATAGTGTGTTACTTTTTAATATATTATTACATTAAATCTAGCAAGTATATTCATTATTATTTTTTTTTAAATTTAACTTTAAAAACTAGGTTACACAACTTTGGGATGATAAGGATGACCGATTTACAGAAGAATTATTGTGCTTAGCACGAGGTCCAATGAAGAGAGTTTTGACTTTTGATGGATATGTTATTAACGGGTTTAGATTTCACACTAAAAAGCGTCAAAGAAATAGAAAAACCCAAAATAGTGGTTTTATTGTGAAAGGGGATGGAGAGAGTGGAGGGAAGGACTTTTACGGGATATTATAAGATGTTATTGTGCTAGAGTATGATGCCTTGCAAAACCGAACAAGTCCTAAATTGGTATTATTCAAGTGTAAGTGGTTTGATGTATTTAGTGACGCAAGAGGGATAAAAAAGGACAAATTTGGATTTACACTTGTCAATGTTTCTCGTAGATTGCAAACTAATGAGCCTTTTGCATTAGCTTCTCAAATTGAACAAGTTTTCTATGTCTCATCTCATGCCAATAAACATTGGAAATATGTTATTAAAGCCAATCCACGTAATTTTTTGATTTCCCTAACGACGAAGACACTGAACAAAATGAATCACTATGGAACTCTGTGGAAGAAGGGGCAACCAGCCTTGAAGAATTTGTTGCACTAAGTGATGAGGAAATTACAATGGTTAGGGATGATGTTGAACCAGAGTTGGTTGATGCTGAAGCCGTCTTAGAAGCTACTAACAATATTTCTCTAGTGAATGAATATGAGGAAGAAGAAGAAAGTGAAGAGGATAGTGAAGATGGTCTGGACACTCTAGACATAGATAGCGTGCATGAGTTGGATGAGGATCTTGAAGATGAAGAATTTGAAAGCGATAGTTCTGAAGATTCAACCTCTTAGTTTTTGGTAACTGGTGTTTTCTAAATTAAAGGATGAAAATGAGTCACTTAATCTCATGTTTTTCTATATTTATAATGTATTATATTAATATCATTGCATTTACCAAGCACAAGTGAAGATTGTTGCATTTTTAGGCGCTACAACCATCTGCTATCAAATCTTTGTAGTTCTTAGTTAGTGATTTGCAAAACTTTTTTTTATTAGGGGTTTTAGATAACTTTTTTAATACATTAGTGGTTTTAAATTTATTTTATTAGTAAATTGTTGATTGTTTATGATTATTATAATAAGAAAATTGTTAATGCCTATTTTAGTAACTGAATTGATGATAATTTAATTTTTCATTACTAATTTCTTGCATAAGAAATTCTTATAGGAAAATTATGGTATTCCAGCAAGTACAGCTAAATGCAGGGCATCAACGTAAGAGAAGACAAGTGTCGAATGCAATGCAACAACTAAATCAACAACAACTAAATCAACAACAACACAATGGGCAGCATGAACATCAGAATGTGGAGCAGCAAAACCAACAGAATGTGCCAGGGCAACAACAAAATGTGCAGCAACAACAACAAATTGTGGAGCAACAACAACAACAAAATGTTCAACAACAGCAATAAAATGAGACGCCCACAACATGACGAAGAAGCATCAACCAATGAACAAGCTACTATGACTAATTTGACATATCGGGAGAAACGAAGGATTAAACAAGCTGAACTTCGACTTAAATTTCCTGATCGTAAGCGGCGTGGGCCTACTAGGGGTAAGAAATATGTAAGTAGAGTGTGGAATTCTAATTCTGAAGAAAAGATTAAGATCAATTTCATGGATGAGCTTCGACGTGTGGTTGGCAAAAAGGCAGATGAATTCATATGTGACTGTAGCAATTGGGTGAAAGAATTTTTTCCCCTAAAATCTTTGTATGTTTTTATAACTAACAAGATTTTTTAATATATGATGTTGAAGTTATATTTCATGACTCTAACTATACATTCATGACAGAAATTGGTCTAAGATGGATTCAGGTGCAAAAGAAAGGTTATATAAAAAGATCAGGGTAAGTTTTAAGTATGTAACACCAGCAGAATGTGTGATAGAATTGAGCATTCATGGATTCATTTTAATTCAAGTTTGGTAACTAGTTTATGGATTATTCTTATTGGCAGAGTAAATATGATTTACCTGATATGGTTGCTGGTGCTAATGTTATTGAAGCGTTGAGCTTTCAGTGCTTCATGTTGTATAAACATTGGAGATTCAGGCTTAAAGAGCAATACTTTAGAAACAAGTCAGTCACATATGCTATAAATAAATAGTAGACCTGATACTATTGATGCTAACTAATGGACATGGCTAGTTTGTGAGTAATGGAATGATGAGAAGCAAAAGGTAAAATTCTATTTTTTTTACTTAATCGTTAACTGGGGTTATATTCCTTAATTAACAATGAATTCTTTGATTATTTTCTTGTAGCGTATTAGTAAAGTTAACACGGAAAATAAGCTTAATCAAACTGAAACTCCTGCAGATGGTGCAAAGTCTACCGCAAGAATTTTCCATGAATTGGTATGACTTCTATATTTTTGCAATGATTTATATAATAATTTGTTTAAACCGGTGCATGTATGCTTTTGGTGAAGCTCAGAAAATGTTTATAAACTAATTTATGCTTAATGGAAAATGAATTATTTCATGGTAGATTAGTTCTGCTAGATTTTGGACTGTTACTATTATTTGAGCACTGATCACATTTCATTGTATAATTTGTCATTGCTTATCAACAATGTAGATGAATGTGCAACAAACTCAAGGTACTCAAGAACATGAAGGATCATCAGATAATCCTCTTGAAACTCAGCAAGATCCTCTGTACATCACCTTATTTGAGAAAACTAAAAAGTACTCAACGTTCCCTTGGTGGTTTTTTTTAGTATCTTTTTGTATAAGTTTTTTTTTAATTATATAATAGTTTGAATTGAGTTATTTTTTGTTGTGCGTGAATTAATATGCTAGGCATAAAGATAAGGGATTTGAACCTAATGCTGAAAAAGACTATGACGCGCTTAGAAACCTTCATGAAAAGGAAGTGGAGGAGCATGGTGAAGATACACTAAGTGTCAAAGCAGCATACATGGAGGTTTTCAAACCAAAGTCTGGATATGTTAAGGGACTTGGTCCTGGAGCTCGTCCACCAAAGAAAAGAAGAGTTGAAGGAGAAACTGATGAAGTTAGAGTGGCATTATCGGCTGAGATTCAACAATTAAAAGAGGATGCCGCAACACGTGAGGGTGCACTTTTATATCAAATTGAATCTCTGAAGGAATCTAATGAAGAGC